TTGTTATTGTCCGTTTTTATAATCAGTTTTTTTGGTTTATCGGTATTTTTTCCAACTGGGCCAGGCTGAATATCAGCAAGGTTCTAATCGTTTTAATAAAAGAAATGCCTTTCCTCGATTTCATTCCTTTTTTGGTCTTAGCCGCGATTTGAGGTCAGACTTTGATGCGTCATATGTGCAAGCTGTTGGAAAAAATAACCCAGTGGCGTTTCATTAATTATTAGTCTATCGACAATGGTTTTTTTGGTTCGGTTATTTTACTAACTGATGAGGTTTTGCCGGAAAATCATATATTAATCAGCATTTGTTTTGATCCAGAGCGATTTAAGGACTATTTTTATCAGCAATTTCCTCGCTTTTCTAGTTACATACAGAAAAACATTTACTGAGGCTCAAGCAGACTGTTTGACGAAGAAGTTAACCATCCGACTGAAAAGAGTGCTCGACCACCTTAAAGCCGCTTATTTAAAATTCAAAAAAGCCAGTCTGAGGCCCCGGTTTAAGCCCGAGAGGTTTTTTATGGTCAATGGTTTTATGGACAATGAACCGTACTTTATGTGTTGCATTTTGAAAAATCGATTTTGTTTCTTCTGTGGGTTTAGGACGTTGCAAGTATATTCAGAAAAATATTAATAGGTACCTATGTATTAGAAGAAAAAAAATTTGATGATGAAGACGAATAATTACATATATTTTCACCCCACAAAGTTCGCCCGGTAGGACTTTTGCAAATTAAAAATTTGATATCTAAATTGGACGAGCTGATCTCATCCCATGGCCCCCTAATAGTCCCGACTTAACGCCTCTTGATTCTTTTTTCTGGAGTGATTTAAAACATATTGTGTATGAATGCCTTTTTTGCCTGCTGCAAAATTTTCTGCAGGCACTCTGTTTTTGTTCAACAAATATTTACAGTACCTGAGAGGGTAAAAAAATATATGCGAAAAAATCGAAAACTTTTGTTCGAAAACCTGCTGTTGCTGCCGAAGCGCTTGGATTCTCGCCAACTTTACACATTTACAGTTTACCATTTCAAGCCTTACCATATGGTTGTCAGACGGCAAATATAATCGTTAAAACTGATTGCAAATGAGCCAGTGGCGTGCCTGTGGAATGTATTTAATTCGCATTGTTCGGATGAATTAGCAGCTTTAACGAGCGCAGCCCAATTAGCAACAAAACATCGGGATATTTTCAATTAAAAAATTGAATTAGAGAGGGCACTGACTATGTAGCTGCTTGTTGAGTGGTGATTAGTAGTTAAGAAAAATAACTGATTTTCTTCCACCAGATGTCATCCTGTGCAGTACCAGTAGCTCCAGCCCCTCCAGCGCTCAAGGACCTTCCAAAGGTAGCAGGAGACCTTAAGAGCGAACTGGAAGGTTTCAGCTCGAGCAAGCTGAAGAATGCAGAAACTCAGGAAAAAATCGTTCTGCCATCGGCCGAAGGTGAGGTTTAAATTTAAGCTGGAGTTTTTTTTTGCCTGACGATCCTGCGACATCTGTAATGTGAAAATAGCTCGTGTAGGGTGGCGCTGGAATGTGTCTTTCAACGCAAAAGCGAAGAATGCGACTGAGAATTATGTGAATTCTGTAAATAGAAAAACCCTCATGATGGATGCTCGGCGGGTCGCTGAATAGAAACACATGTTTTTGGTTTTTGGTTGTCGTCTTTTGGAGCGAAAATAATCAGGATTTTCACCGATTTGTGTGAACATTTCAGACAATTTTCCTTGGAGGGTCTTCGATAGGGTGGGCGTTCAAGTTCAAGTGTATACTTGCTCAGGATTGGAAAATAGCACTTTTTTAAATGCAAAATTGCAGTTGAGCGGATCGTTTTCTTTTCGTTCATTTTTCACACGGATGGGAAAAATTAGGATTTTGCAAGATTTTTATGAAATTTTCATACTTTTTGCCTAGAAAGGTCTTCTATTCTAGGGTGCGCAAATTTCAAGGTAGGACCTGCTCAAAATGAGAAGTTCTCAATTTTTAAAAGTGCGCATACAGTTTAGAGAAAGTTTATTATTTTTGCCATTCATCTACAGGTTTGGCAAAAATCTGGATTTTTTTGAATTTCAGAATATTTTTAATGATGCGTCTTGTCGGGTGCGAAAATTTCAAGTTGCTACCTGCCCGGTATTGGAAGATAGCAAGTTTTAAAGACGAGCGTGGAGTTGAGCGAAAGTTTTAATTTTCTCCAATAGTTTACAAGGTTAGAAAAAATCAGGATCAAAAAGTCTTCTATAGAGTTTGCGAAATTCCAGTTGCAATCTGCGCTGTATTGGCAGTTAGGAATTTTTAAATGACGGTATGCATTTGAGTGAAACCATTCATTTATGGTCCTGCCTTTATAGTGCTGACAAAAAATCAGGATTTCTTGTGGTTTGTTTAAAAATTTCAGACTTTTTCCTTAAAGTGTCTTCTATAGGGTATGCAAATTTCAAGTTGCTGTTTGCTTAGGATGGGAAGATAGCAATTTTTAAAAGCGAACCTGCAACTGAACGAAGGTTTCTTATTTTTGCCTTTCAATCACAGGGTTGTAAATAATCAAAATTTTGCACGATTTCAATGAAATTTTTATTTTGGCTTGGAAAGTCTTTTATATAGTGTGCGAAATTCAAGTTTCTACCTATTCAGGATTGGACAATTTTAAAGGCGAGCGTGCGGTTAAGCGAAAAATTTCCCTTTCGTCTATTATTCACAAGATTGGAGAATATCAGTAAAATGTTTTGTGTTTTGTTTGAAAAACTCATATTTTTTCATTGAAGTGTCGTCTATAGGGTGTGCGAATTTCAAGTTTGCTACTTGTTCAGGATGTAAAGGTAGCAATTTTTAAAAGTGAATATGCAGTAGAGTGTAAATTTCGTAGTTTTGCACTTCATACTTAGGGCCGGAAAAAAATTTGGCTTTTGCGCGATTTTAATGAAATTTGCAGACTATTTAACACGAAAGTTCTTCTATAGAGTGTGCGAAATTTAAGTTGTTACCTGTGCTGCATTGACATTTAAGCTTTTTAAAGGACAGTGTGAATTAGAGTGAACCTATTCATTTGAGACCCTGCATTTATAAGGTTGTCAAAAATCAGGAGTTTTTGTGATTTTTTAGAAAATTTCAGACTCTCCTCGTTGAAGTATCTAGGAGAAAGAAGTATATAATTGTCTTCTATAGGCAGCGCTAGATTAATGTGAGAGTGCAGTTGAGAGTTGGAGAAAATCAGGATTTTGCGCATTTTTAACGAAAATTTTAAACGTTTTAGACTTAAAAGTATTCTATATAGTGTGACAAATTCAAGCTGCTACCTGCCCAACATTAGAAGATATACAAGCGTGCAATTGAATCAAGCGATTTTTGCAGATATATTCGTAAAATGTTTACCAAGCCAAGAACGTCCAGCTTCCATGTATTATAAATAAAATAATCCCATTCTTCCTCTAAAAACGTGATGCCACAGGGTTTCTCATTGCTGTGATTTTCTCCCTGTATTCAGATGTGGCCCAGGAAAAGACCCACAACGCCCTTATTGCGGGAGTCGAAAATTTTAACAGTTCCTCATTGAAACGAACGGACACCAAAGAGAAGATTGTGCTACCGAATGCACAAGGTAAAAACGGCCCTGGACTCACCCTATTAATTAATGCGTGTGATCCTTCTATTGCTTTGCCTACCTATACTAATTATTAATATGCGAAACGGCAGGACATTGGAGCTGAAGCAGATTAATCAGTTGGTGTTTTGAACGTGCCGCTAACTTTACCCTATGAAATTCGTTCAGGCTTAAACAGTTTTTATGTTTTTCTTAGATTTAGCCGCAGAGAAGACTGAGAAAGCTTTGATTGAAGGAATCGCGAAATTTGACCCCGCCAAGCTGAAGCACACAGAGACCCAGGAGAAGAATCCGTTGCCCGATAAAGATGGTGAGTTTCCTCGATAGAACCTGGCATGTGGTGCATGGTTTGCGTATGTTTTCACCGATTTGCTTTGCACGTTTCGATCTAGCGGTGCAGCAGGAGAAAACGCACCAAAACCTTCTTAGTGGTGTCGAACACTTCGATAAAACCACCATGAAGCATGCCCAAACATCGGAAAAAATCATTTTGCCCAACACTGAAGGTAGGAATGCTTGCAATGTTTTCTCCATGCCTTGCATGCGATCACTCTCAATGAATAGTAGTTGAGTGCTTCCGACTGGTTTCAGTGATCGAGCAGGAAAAGGCGCAAAGCAACCTGCTGTCCGGCATTGAGAACTTCGACAGCACTAAACTGAAGCATGCAGAAACGCAGGAGAAGAACCCACTGCCCACCAAAGAGGTGATCGATCAGGAGAAGAGCGCCTAAGCCCCACAACGCTCAAGGAACGAACCACAAGCCACTTTTGTACTTTTTTTACTTTTATATGATATTTAATAGTATATTTATTACCGATAAGACATGTGTGGCCGAGTCGGATCAAGTGGCGCCCAATTTTTCCATTTCGCAATGGGGCCCGGTCTTGGTATATCTATTAATGTTTTGCGACTAAGTCATGCCAAATGAGGGTGTTTAATTGCTGTGAACGACGGTCCAGGGGATTTTATAGATGCGTCTAGATATGATTATTTTGCGTACATTTATGGTGCTTTAATAAATTCGTTAAAATGTCTCCACTAGTTTTTTTTTAGTACTTTCCGGCCTTGTCCCTTCGGTCATTTGATCATCTTGTCCGTTAATGCATGACTGCAAGCTGACTTAAAGATTGTGGAAATTTCAGGTTGATTCTTGCTTTATTTGGAAGGATGCAATTTTTTATACGCGAGAACGCAGTTTAGGGAAAACATCCAACACGAGATCTACATTTACTAAGCTGGAAAAACCAGAGAAACCATTGATGTTTGTGGACTCCGCGTTTGTGAACATACGTCAGATGCGAAAGGCAACTCTGAAGATGCCAATGCTGCTAGCGAAACGTCAGAGCCAAATTCCTAGGGTGGAAAATGAAAAATTTCACAAATAATGCATTCGAAGTTTCCACCGCAAATTTTGATGTATTTCTTGTATCTATGTTTTCAACAATATTTAATAAAGTTGGAAATAATAATTTCAATCGCCCCTTTACAATGCAGCGCACGTTCCGCCCCTGACCACCTGGACCTCTGCAAAGCAATGAAGTCAGTCACAAAGCAAAAAATAGCTAACTAAGCTACACTTACCAATTCCGCACAGTCTGGCGCACTGTAGCTTGAATTCGTTATCGTAGCTGACTCCGTCGCTGCCGCACACTGGATTGTAAGTGGGAATAGTGCGACAATTGGTGAAACATGAACGATATGCTGCGCTATCAACTGATGTGCTCACTGCCGGTTGTGGACTCGCTATATGAAAAAAAACTCTTTATAAAGAAAAAATTACTCTACCGAGCCGGGAAGGCATCAGCCCGAAACTCACCTTGATCAGTTACGGTGCCTAAGTCGTTTAAGTCCGATTGGCCCTTGGATGGATGCAGCACGCATAAAAGCCCTAAAGCTGCAGAAATAATTCAAAAATCCTGCTGTAGCCAGCACACTTTTACTCACCGATTACAAGGACAAGTCGGTACATGTTTAACGCGACAATGATCGGCACGAAGAGTGACAATGAAACTAATTCGCTTCGGTTGATCTGCTGGTTTTATGCATTTATTTCCATTGGGAATTTACAACTTCCCATTAATCGTCCGGTCTTGGAAAGACCGGTATTGATCAAGATTGCCCTCGATTGCGTGCAGTTGAAACAAACATCGATGTTATCCGTTATCAGCTACTTTAAACCAAAACAAGTTTATTTTCTAAATGAGCGCGATTATGGTGCAATTAATTTATCGGACAACGCTGCTGTTTAATATCCCGGTAATATACACAGTGATAGCTCAACATTTTTAGATTAAGAAAAATATTTCTAACACTCTTTATATGTGAACTCTATGGATGACTAGCTAGAGAATGTTTGCGAACTAATCACCGACATTCAGCTGTAGAATCAGCGTGGAAAATCAGTGGGCGAAGTCAATGAGGTATGTCGCAGCTCTGCTCAAATTGTCATTCAGTAATGGCATTGCCTGCAAAAAATTTGACTGGCTGCTGATGTTTTGCTCGACTGAAAATGGGACAAATCACAGTTTTTTCGCAATTAAAATCCTACATTTGTGCATATTCCGATAAATCAATCATTCCTGGACAGTTTTGTGCCAATTTTTCCACCAATATGGTGATTTTAAGACCAAAAATTTGCTTTCGAAATTGGTGCCACATCTGACGTTTTTTGTAACAGCGCTCAGTTTTCCTCGAAGAAAATTGACGAAATCGCAGCTTTTTAGTGCTTTAGAGCCAAAAACTGGGCATTTCCGGAAAAATAAATTAATCTTGAATAGTTTTGTGGTGATTGTGCCGCCTCCAAAGTGATTTTCTGGACAAAACCCTCTTTGAAACCCTGACATCTTTCGACATTTAGCCGTCAGAATATGAGCAACTACCAATGAAACCAGACAGTCAGAGTAAGTGCGACTTTTTTCTTCCAATGCGTCTAAATATACCGGGTGTTTTAATGAAGCAATGATTTAGATTGACTACACTAAGGCAGTCATAGACAGGGTCAAGCAAAACACTAATTAAAATCGGAAATGTTTCCTTAAATTTTCTGACAAACATTAAAAAGGTTTGAAAAAATGCTTAGGTTAATTTCGGTCTCAGACCCATCCACTTACCGACCCTGATAATCTTGAAAAATCGAGTAAAAGTCTCATTATGCAAGCCGCTGAAACTTTCTAACCATTTATTCAATATAAATCCACTTTAGCTTCTTTGAAAAGCTGATAAAAGCCGCATTCCATCAAAGATTACAGTTAACGCTTTAGTGGGAATTAAAAAATCCACACAATTTCTACGGTTTATTGCAACAGTCCACTGATAAACTACAAAAATGAGGCCGTTTTGTTACGGTTTGAAGCTCCCTTCACGTGCCTCCATTTGGAGCAGCTGCTGAAAGTTGAGGAGTTGATGGAGTAGCTGAGGAGGCGAGGTTACAAAGAAGTAACTGGCAGTTGTTTCATTGCTGCCACTGATCTGGGCCTCCACTGTTTCTTCTTCTACAGCCTGTTGCTGTGAAAGCCGAAAGAAAGAAAAGCTGATCGACAGGCATATCAGGGAACAGGTTCTTACTAGAAGTCCTCTACGCCACAACCATTATCCCTACCAAATGGGAAAATCCTGCGAATCTGCTATCCGCGAGTTGGTGCAGAAGGCACAAACCTCATTACAGCGTAAAGAAATTGATTTGGCGGCTTTTCTGGACATAGAGGGAGCATTTGACAATACCTCTTTTCAGTAAATCGTCAAAGCGGTGAAAATAGTGGAGTGGAGCCTATAATATGTAAATGGATCCAAAACATGCTGAGTTGCAGAACGGTTACTGTCGCACTCAATGAAGTCAGCATGGAAGCACAGATAGCCGGCGGGTGTCCGCAGGGAGGAGTTTTGTCGCCTCTGCTGTGGAGCCTGGTGGTGGACCGGCTCCTGTCGTCACTTGAGGGGAAAGGTT